ATACCCTTTTTACCCATTTTCAATGGGTTCAGGGTATAATAAAAAGGGTACCTGCTGTAATGTCATTTCTTTATGATATCGATACATATTTTCGATATCTACACAGTTTCTATACTTGATTTAATAAGCAAATGTATTTTTAATAGAAATTTCATTTATAGTTTTTTAAATTTGTTGATGATTTTTCTCTGAGTGTAGGTACTTTTCGAATGGTTCAAAGTCAGTGAGTAATGCCAACTCCAATTATGAATCGGATTAGCACCTCATTCAAGAACGGATGATCTAGTTAAGCGACAAATATTTGATTTATGCAAAACTCACAACTTGATAAGTTTTTGTTTTTGCTTTTTGTCTCGTTGTTATTGTCGCGTGGGCAGCCGCCAAATTGGTTCAGACGGTGTTCAGTTCTGAGAGAGACTTTTGCGTGACTGCCACTTGATCATGTTTTGGGCATCACAAATTAATAAATGCAGCTTATTAAAAAAAAGTTTGCTCAAAAAGAAACAAATACGCTGCAGCGAGGAAACCCGTTTGGCTGCTGCTGCTGCTGCTGTCAGCCGTCGGACGCGCAAAAATGATGCGCCAATGAGGCTTCAACTTGCACTGGCTCTGGCACTCGCATATCTTCCACTTCGAATCTCTGCATCTCCACATCTACATCTGGCTGCTGGCAGCAGCATCTTTTTTGTTTTTAATAAAAAAAATACACAAAATGTGTACGGGCGATTGTCGAGCGTGTGTGTATGTATTTTTTTTTTTATATCTTATTTATTTTTTTTCATTTTTCGTTTAAAGGTCATTTGGTTATTGGGGCTGCAGCGCGCGTCTGTGCGCGCCTACCTTAACATTCAGAGCTCAATTCCAAAGTTGGACGCCACGACTGACCCGCCACAACACGGTATTGCACGCACCACCAGCAGCAGCGGCTGCGGCTGCGGCAGCGACAGCAACCGGTTCATCTTCATCTCTATCTGTGCAGTTGCGCCGCATGTAGGCCTAATCTTGGCAACGAACAGCTGTAATCTCTGCTGGCGATGTTTGCACTTAGACAACGCCTGCATGGAATTTCAGTTGAATGCAGCTAATTTCATCTGCAATTCCACTAAATACTTATTTGCCTATTGCTGTGCTTCGATTGAAGCCTTGAAAGCGATTGCCAAAATTACAACACAGCTAGCTCCACAGCTCGAATGTTAATCTCGTTTACAAATTAGACTCTGCATGACAATATGTTTAACACTCGCCGAGCACATTATCCATGGGCGTTCAAATTACTCGAAAGACAGAAAAAAAAAACTAAAATACTAGTTTGCAGGCAAAAGGAAAAAAACTAACGAAACTAAAAAACTTAAATAAATAAAAAGTATAGAGATAAAATAAAACCTAATACACGCACTTAAAGCACAGTTCAGGCAGACATCAGGCAGCAAGTGGCCAAGTGCCTGGCTTAAATCTAGTCACTAGTCACCTAATATATTTGCTCAAATAAAAGTAGCTAAATAGAAATACCAATAGGAACAACAGCAACAAAGCCCAAGCCACAAATTAAGCACGCGGCAGACGTCAACTGCGGCATTGTCTCTAACTTTGCTTGTTTGAAGCCTTTTCGGTACTTTTTTTTTGTTGAGGCGCATTTTATAATTTAAATTATGATGATTATTTGGTTTTAGTGCGTTTACTTATGTTATGCGACTGTTAAACGGCCAACAACAATGCCTGGCATTAACATTAAGAGCAGCCGCAGCAGCAGCAGCAGCAGCAGCCGCAGCCGCAGCAACGACTGCGCAGCTGCCGAGCGACTTGAGGCTTGGGACTGAAACCGAAACTGGCACCGGTTGGTCAGTTGTTGGCGTCAGCGTCTTTGTTGGCAGCATCTTCAGTCTTTGCGAGTGTTAACAGCTGTCGCCCAACTCGTCGCAGCAGCAGCAGCGGCAGCCAAAGCAGCAGCGGCCGATCCGACGCCCCGAGTATATATAAGTAGAGAATCTACAAGTTTTGATGCTTTAGTTGCTAGCCCAGTGTCGACCCAGAAGTTGAAGCAACTTTTTTGCTTGGCATCGATCAAAAATTCAATTGACCATTGAATTTTGATACGATCGGACACACACAAGGATTATACACAAAAAAATCACAGTCGGGATATATTCACAGATATATACTTAAGCGTTATCTGCCGTCCGTTGCAGTTAAAAGTGCTCAATATGGTAACTAAAATTAGTTGCAATTGCCCAAATAAAATACAAATAACATAAAATCAACTAAAAGACATTCGTGAAAAGTGCCAAAAAGAGAAGTGACCAAGTTGAAAAGACAATCGAACATTACTGAAAATCAATTACTTCCAGTCAATCGCTTATTTGCGTTTTACACATTTAACAAGGCAGACAAGTTGAGGCTCCTATCTGGCGGCCCAAGTGACATTTAAGCCCTGAAGAGCGTTTTTGTTTTGTTCAATTACACGCTTTGTAGTAGTGCCATTGTGCAAGTGTGTAAGTGAGTGTGTAAGTGCGCAGGCGCATTGCTTGCCAATATTACGCATACGACCGTTGCGCCCACGTGGGCTGTCCAAGTCGACGACACAGCGGTCTGCGGGCTGGGTGAGGGGTTTGCTGCTGCTGTCAGTACTTGCGTATTTAATCATTTAACATGGCTCAGGTGCAGCAGAAGCTGCAAACATTTAGCCTGGGTTTCTATGTCAACGCTGCGGATGAAATGAAAACTTGTTTGCAAATCGTTGCACATTTTTTTTCATACATTTCATGGGTTGACATTTGAATTGGCATATTTAGGTAAATGACCATTAAATGTTGCCTTAAGCTATATAAGTATATATATGTATGTAAATTCTAGGCGCTGCCATTGAAAGATGATCAACGTCTGTCAGTTCGCTAGTCGGTTAATTATCTGCACCAAGTTCGTTGCCTAAGTCTTTCGATTGCAGCAGAGATTTACGGCAAATTATCAAAGAATCGCATAAAAGCACCGCCCAGACCAAGTGCCAAAGGCAAATTAGCGATCAATCTGAGTAGACAACTGTGCAGCAAGCAGAGAACTGCACAAGAACCAAACAAAGATTAAGATACTTAAAAAATGAAAAACAAATATTTAATAGTATAGAAAATATTTCGATTTTTTTACTTGGAGACGATCATTTAACTCATCATTTACATGCTATCTATATCTTTCATCTATCATCTTTCATCAAACAACCAATAAAAACCTAACTCGTTAATCTCTCATGGCAATGTTAAAATAACCATTAATGAAAATGCGTAACTTTCGATCATTTTTGAAGACAGCTTGACCTAAATGTGCGTCATTGACGTTTCCGATACGAATGCAAGGTCATGTCTGTGTGTAAAACAAATTAATTAACTACATATTAGCATAATAGATTACTGGGAAGCGTGCTCAAAGTTGAATATACCATGCAAGACAGCATTAAGACCCATCTATAGTTAGATATTTGTTTGGAGAACGTGTCTTAAAAAACTCGCCAACCGCATCCCATTAATAAAAAAAAATCTTAATATAAAGCGCGTGTTGCTCTTTATGAGATAACATTAATTGATGAGGTTTGTTTGGAATAATCTAAAAACTAGAAACTGACGCGTTTATACTTCAGTTGGAAACCACGCGGCTAAAGTCCTTTCACTTTCACTCGCCTAGGTGCTAACAAGACGTTTGCCCGCCGACGGGTTGAGTTCCAAGATCTTGAATATTTGAATACTAAACAAGTTTAGAACATCGAGAAATTTCAAGTTCATTAACAACAAATTTAAAAAGTCATTTACATTTAAATAAGTTATGTATAAATATTTATATATATATATATTTATTTTTTGTTTTTGATTTGGCGATAAGTCAAATTTTTGTCAAGAATATAAAGATATATATATAGACATGTACATGTGCGTATATATATATATATAGAATTCTTTTGTCTGGCTTAGTCAAAGAAATTTGGACATAAAGCGAGGCGAATGGCGATTTTTATGGCTATGACTTGGGCAGCGGCTTTCAATGATTAGTGCGTATGCTAATTTTGTTAGCGACGACTTCAGTTTTTCTCACTTTATTAATGGCCGATGCCGATTATTATTATATAATACCGCTGTCTCTGCTGGTTCTAAAACTAGTCAGGCATAATTTTTTTTGTTCGCAGCCGGTTTGTTGCATAATTGGCTATTTTTATAGATAGAGCCCAGCACGGATATAACTTATCCAAAAATTCTTAGTGATTTTAATATGTCCGCAAATTAATTGCAGCTGGCCATTTACCACTTTCGTTAACGTTGACAGCTTCAAGTTGACCTTGCCGACATTGAAACGGCAATCGCATAAAATGCTAATTATAAAACATTAGATTCGTTGACAGCCACGGAAGACGATACCTGGCGTAATCTGTGCATTTTTTGACCAGAGATCTTGTCGCCAAGCTAATTAATTATTTCACCTGCATTTTGTGTCTTTTTATAATTGGCTTGTGAATAAGAAATTTGAGAATAATCAAGTTAGCCATCGCATTGTGTGACTTTGTTTTGGTTAGCTACCGTGACCTAGAGATGATGTCAAAGTTGAATGTCTTCGACTTTACACGTTAACATTTTAATTTAATTGCCAGCTATTTGCTGTTGTTGTTGTTGTTGTTGTAGCTGATTTGAATACTATATTCAAATGGCTGACATCGTCTGAACTTTAACGAACGACTTTTGTGCCGTTGAGCATTGTCTATAGTTAAACAATGTTGCCTTGCATTTAGGCCTAGAGCATTAAAACAATTCGATAAGGTAATTAGAATAAAACTCATTCCGATGCCTAGGGTCACAGCTTGAACAATTCTAAACAACCTGATGTTTTATTTAGGCATCTTATTTAACTATATTAACACGATCACTTTCTGTTTCCGTTTCTTCACAGAGAAGTGCACTTTTTGTCTTGGCGCTTTGCGTTGTGGCAGTAGCCACCGCAACAGCTGACACCCATGAGGTAAGCACTTAATGGCCATTTTGATCGTGGAGCTGATCTTTAACTCAAAGTATGACTTGTTTCAGCGTAAGGTTCGTGCGGCTGATGGATACTTCTATCCTACTCCCGCGGTGCCGTTTGAGTTGCCGAAGCGCACTACACCACCACCGCCCACCAGGCCTCCAACTCGTGTTCCTGTGACTTATTTGCCTCCTACAAATAAGCCGCAGCCACCAGTGACTACCACTACTCGCAGGCCACCACCTCCGACTACCAGGGCCACCGTTCGTACGACTCCAGCTCCAACCTACTTGCCTCCTACCAACAAGCCACTGCCCCCAGTGACTACCCGCAAGCCAACGCCAGCTCCAACCTACTTGCCTCCTACCAACAAGCCACTGCCTCCAGTGACTACCCGCAAGCCAACGCCACCACCGACTAGGTATACTCCACCACCAACCCAGCGCACTGTGCCGACAACCAGGGCTACAGTTCGTACGACTCCAGCTCCAACCTACTTGCCGCCAACCAACAAGCCACTGCCCCCAGTGACTACCCGCAAGCCAACGCCAGCTCCAACCTACTTGCCTCCTACCAACAAGCCACTGCCTCCAGTGACTACCCGCAAGCCAACGCCACCACCGACTAGGTATACTCCACCACCAACCCAGCGCACTGTGCCGACAACCAGGGCTACCGTTCGTACGACTCCAGCTCCAACCTACTTGCCGCCAACCAACAAGCCACTGCCCCCAGTGACTACCCGCAAGCCAACGCCAGCTCCAACCTACTTGCCTCCTACCAACAAGCCACTGCCTCCAGTGACTACCCGCAAGCCAACGCCACCACCGACTAGGTATACTCCACCACCAACCCAGCGCACTGTGCCGACAACCAGGGCTACCGTTCGTACGACTCCAGCTCCAACCTACTTGCCACCAACCAACAAGCCACTGCCACCAGTGACCACTCGCAGACCAGCACCACCAACGACAAGGGCCACCATTCGTACAACTCGTGCAACTATTCGCCCATCAAGCACACCTGCACCTACATATCTGCCTCCTACAAATAAGCCACAGCCACCTGTGACCCGTAAACCTACCCCACCGCCGACTAGGGCTACCCCACCACCAACAAGGGCAACTCCACCACCGACTAGGGCAACCCCACCACCAACCCGGGCTACTCGTCCACCAACCCCACCACCAACATACTTGCCTCCAGTGACCACGACCCGCAGGCCACCACCCCCTCCGACTACCAGAGCTCCAGTCCGTACGACTCCCGCTCCCACGTACCTGCCACCAACAAATAAGCCACAACCACCTGTGTACACAACGACTCGTAGACCACCTCCACCGCCAACTACTCGTAGACCAACCCCACCACCTACTCGTGCAACACGCCCACCAACCCCACCACCAACGTACTTGCCTCCAGTGACTACGCCACGTAGACCACCACCACCACCAACTACTAGGGCTACCGTCCGTACGACTCGCGCGACCGTCCGCCCAACAAGTACGCCTGCACCTACCTACTTGCCTCCCACAAACAAGCCACAGCCTCCTGCTACGACTAGGGCTACTACCCGACCACCGACTCGTGCTACTCCACCCCCAACCCGGTATACCCCACCCCCAACTCGGGCAACACCACCACCAACTCGTGCTACCCCACCACCAACTCGGGCTACTCGTCCACCAACCCCACCACCAACGTACTTGCCTCCAGTGACCACGACCCGTAGGCCACCACCCCCACCAACCACTAGAGCTACCGTCCGTACGACTCGTGCGACCGTCCGCCCAACAAGTACGCCTGCACCTACCTACTTGCCTCCCACAAACAAGCCACAGCCTCCTGCTACGACTAGGGCTACTACCCGTCCACCAACTCGTGCTACTCCACCCCCAACTCGGTATACCCCACCCCCAACTCGGGCAACCCCACCACCAACTCGGGCTACTCGTCCACCAACCCCACCACCAACGTACTTGCCTCCAGTGACCACTACACGCAGACCACCACCCCCTCCGACTACCAGAGCTCCAGTCCGTACGACTCCCGCTCCCACGTACCTGCCACCAACAAATAAGCCACAACCACCTGTGTACACTACGACTCGTAGACCACGACCACCACCCACTTACACTACCGCACGTGCAACTATCCGCACAACTCCAGCTCCAACCTACTTGCCACCAACCAACAAGCCACAACCACCTGTGTACACTACCACTCGTAGACCACCACCACCACCACCAACGACTCGCCGGCCAACACCACCACCAACCAGGGCCACACCCCCACCAACCTACCTGCCTCCCGTCACCACTCAGAGGATAACCACACGTGCCACTCAACGTACCACTCCGTACGTCCCACCTCCAACAAGGGCTAGCGTGCCACCAGCGACGACCAAACATCAGGGTTACCAATACCCAAGGCCCAACATTCCCTTTGACTTCTAAGCGCCCGTTCAACTAGCTCAGTTATAGCCGTCGATGAATTCAACGACGGTCAACGGCAGGATGACAGGTGACATTTCATTTCATTTTAATTGAAATAATATTGTCTTATGAGAGGGGATGCAATAACTGATGCTCTATATATCTAGCAATGCAATGCCAACCATATTTCTAGGGCTAGATACATCTAGTCAATACAGTCGAAAAGATTTTTACAGCGTTTCATGAGGGTGCTCGAAATTGCGAAACCACTGAAGCGTCGGCAAGAATGAAACTTGTTTGTTTTTATGAATTAATGAATCGCATACTCATACGATTAGGGATCACTGTATCTATGTATCTAATTTTTTGTAAACCCCTTTAATACTATATTTTGCTATGTTTAATGTTTCCCAGTCAAAATGCGTGTTTGCTTCCTCAACACTTTGTGTCTCAAGACTATTTAGCTCTATATTGAAATCAAATGAAAAACAAACAAATATCTTTTATGAACATTTCTAAAGGCCCGAACAATAAATTAAGTTTATCAAATGTGGTTTCAATGCATTTTTAATTCGACAACGGGAAATGTTTGCAGCGGTTGCTATTATTGTTATTTTATTATTATTTTTTGCCACAACAAGACGCAACTCACGTGAGGTTGGATCTGTAAAAGAGCGGGTCGTACGGCTTTTGTGTAAGGTTTGTATAGCAAATAATAATCGTGCCATAAAACATAATAATATGTTTTATACATTATTATTGTAGGAGAAACTATTTAAATGCTGTATTATCAATATAAATTCCATCTGATAATGGGGAATGACATAATATATTATGTTTATTATTTAAAACTCTTATTAAGGAATCTTTCGTCTATAAACATTTCATTGTAAGGCAGTTCAATTATGCATTATTAAGGCAAAAGAGTCGAGGAATATACAACTTTGAGGTACGTATTATCTGCGGAGAAGTGGCGAAGGTCGCTGGTTAAAATCCCTAAAACTTTACGCCTGCCTCTTGCGGTGTGAAATAATGCTTATCGAACTGTAAAAAATCCGATTAATCACATTATTAAACATAACTTTTTATCTAATTTATGAGAGCTTTAGGCACTTCGGCTAGCGAGCTGCACTTAAATTGTTTCTCGCTTTAATTCTTTATCGCGTGTATTGATGTATGCGATCTTGAGTTGTTCATGGTTGCTGCCTTTAAAATATCTCATTTTCTTTTCCACACACAAACACATCGGCGAACACGAAATCATTTAGCCAATTAATTTATTTGTCTATTTATTTTCGTTCGTATATGTTAAACTTTCTAATTAGGCGCAGTCGTACGCTGCGTTGTTGCAAGTGGTTGCAAGTTTTTTAGGGGCTGCTTGGCCAAAACTGCGGGCAGTCGTCTTTGCGATTCGCGATGAGGAAGTCGCGTCAGTTGCGCCAAGAGATACCGATACCAACAGCTACGATACGAGGCTCAGCTCAGCTAAATTTATATAGTGAAAAATGTTTATAAAGCCAGAAGCGCAGCTAGAGCCCAAGTTAAACCATATAGCGCTGCTGGGTCCAGATCCTGCCAGGTGCAGAGGCATACAAAAGGCAAACCGAAGCCGCTGGCAGCGGATTATGGGTCTGCTTTATGTGTACACAATTGTGAGCCCCAATTGATAGTAGCGAGAGAGAGAGAGAGAGAGAGATGTTAAGTGCTTGCTGCAAAACCAAATAAAAAAACTTTCAATTTTCCAGATGTCTCTTATGGTAGTCAAGGTCGCATCAACAGCCTTATATCAACAGCAGCAGCAGCCGCAGCAGCAGCAGCAGCAGTTACTCAACCACGTTGAGCCAACGGTGGCGGAGACAACGTCCAGTACAGAAAGTGACAACCACGGCGACAGCCCGGCTCAAGCAGCGGAACGCCTAAACATTGAGAAGATGCGTGCCAAGTTACAGCAATTGCAGCACGAGCAGCAGCAACAATATCGTCTGCAGCAACAACAAATGCACCTGCATCTGCAGCAGATGCATCAGCAGCAGATGCAGATGCAGTTGCATGCGAACGATGTGGATGCGGGTGTCGTGGCTGATGTGGAGACTGGCGCGGCTGGCGAAACTGCCTACTTATTGGAGCGTGCCGACGACGTTGCGCCCATTTACGGAACATGGCGCACGAAAGCGAGACGACCCCAGCCGCCAGGCAACATGCTGCAGCACGCAACATCTATGCAGCTAAACGGGCCCGCCGATGGCGACGCCAACGCCAACGGCGTCGACGATAATCATCTGTATGAGCGCCTGCCCAGGCGATCCGTCACAATGACGCCGCTGCGTGATGTGCTGCGCGATCAGCTGCCACGGCCGCCGCGCCTATCCACACAGCGGCCACCCTCGTCGGCGCTGCTGCGGCGCCAGTACTCGGAGACGCCGGGCACATTGGCAATGCGCGATGATTTCAAGCCGAAGCCGTTTCACTTTCCATTCGATGGCCCACTACCGGAGCAGTTCAAGAAGGGCGAGGCGGAGCGCCAGCATGGCACGCTGAACAACATCCAGGACATCTTGCACAATCTGCACATCAATAGCGTGATGCCCAGCAAGATGCCGCAAATGATGACGGCGCCGTCGCTGGTGATGATGCCCACGGGCCTGCACATTGCCGGCAGCTATAAGAATCTCAAGTCCAGCGGCATAGCCAATTTCTTTCGGGGCAAGCGCAACAAGAAACAGATGCAGTTCAGCATACCGATGCCCATGTTTCCCATGGGCATGCCCATGCCGATGTACGGTGGTGCGCCGCATCAGCGCGTAGCCATCGAGCAGCTGTATCCCTATAAGCCACGCTCGCCGCAGGACATCAATTTGCTGGCCCTGCAGCAGGCGCCCAACAGCAAGCCCAGCTCCAAGAAGAAAAACAAAAAGCAGCAGCAGCAGGAGCAGAGCAACTACAACATGTTGCTGGAGCACGGCACCCAACAGCACTTGGTGGTCGATCCCTTCCTGCAGAACTTTCCACCAATCATCGCGCTGAATGCGACACGTCAGCCGCAACATAAGCGCATACCCTTCAAACTGAACCTGGACATATATCCGGTGCTGCCACCCTCGAGGCCCACCTCCGTGCTGCGCAATCCCTTCCACGGCGACTACGCACTGCCCTCGGCTGGGCCACTAACGGCCTCCAATGGACCCATCTATGCGCAGCCGCAGGGTCTCTACCAGTCGCCCTTCAAGTTTCCCACACAACCGCCCAGCCACCTGCCCATGATCTTTCCCGAGCATGGCACTCGCTACAGCCAGCAACAGCAGCAGCAACAGCAGCATCAGCAGCAGCAGCAGGCGCTTTACCAGTCGCCAAAGTTTGCCGCACAGCAGCAGCAAAATTCGGGCCCTGAGGATTGCATCTATGCGCAGCAGGCCAATGGCAATGGCAACACTGGACCGGTAGACTCGCACTCCAATCAGATAATGCTGCACTTGAATGTTTTTCCCAAGCAGAAGCCCACGACACCGATGCGCGCCTCCACCAATCCCTTCTACAGCCACAATTTTGGTGCGGGCTTGCAGCGCAATACTTTCAGCGCCAGTGAGCAGGAGCAGCCGCTGCCCAAGCCTCCAAGTCCCATTGAGCCACGCCAGGTGGCACCCGCACAGTCCCAGCCCGGCAACAGCTCGCTGGCCGCAACCACAGCTCAGCCGCAGCAGAACCAAACCCAACAACAACAGCAGCAGCAGCAGCCAGGGAATCATTCGATTTCACGCAGCGACAATCTTTCGCTGATCGACTTTGAGCATCCCATTGTGGCGGCTGAGGTGCCCCAGCTGCCGCATCCTGCTGCACTAACTGGCAATCCTCCCAATCATGGTCGCTATAGCGTCCAGGGCGATCATTTTCGCTACCACAAAACTCCACATATCGATCAACTGGCCGCCGAGGCACAAACGGCTTCGCTCTTTCGCTTTCCCGTCGAGGATCTGATACAGTTCCAGGTGGACGATGCGCTCTAAATCGATTTAGTTATAGCTCTTATATATACCAAAAATAAATAAATATATTTAGTGTTTACTTCAATAGTCAAAATGGGCTTTGACTTCAACAGTTGTTAGATTCATAGTTGAAGTTTATTTTGGACTTTCATCTTCTACGACTTTATCGGAACTGAATCGATTTTCAAAAAGTCGTTTTTGACAATTATTGACCTCAATATTGCATCTGCATTTAAATTTTGGTATGCAAATGCATGGTAATTGCTTTTCCGGAACTTGAAACATGTATAGCTCGGGCAAAACCAAACCGATTTTCACACAGACAAGTTAAGTTTCCAAACTTTCAAACTTTCATCTTTTCGGTCTTCGTTTGACCCCAAGATTGAATTTTGGTTTTAAATTTTGCGAACACAATTTTGTAGAATAAACCGAGTATCAATTATTGTTTTTGGCCTAGCTTGGACCTCTAGATAGTTTACATTTCTTCAGTTAAATTTATATTAAATTATATAATATCACATAGTCCGTGTAGCTTATAAACTGTAGGTGCCCCAAATACAACCATTTCTAACTATTCTTTTTAATTAACTTTTAAATTAAACGCCTGTCTAAGTGCACCCCTAAGTATTTGTAGCTGTTGTGGTGCGTCAGGAAGACTCCCGGACTCCCTGCGGAGCGTTCCCTAAAGCAGATTCGTACTGGTACTTCAGCTGCTCCACCGCTCCGTTTGGGTATGCAATGAAATTTTTGATTTTTGTTCGTCTGCCTGTTTTTTTTCACAAATTTTGGGTTTCCAAACAAAATCAAAAAACGTGGTATGCAATTCCAGATTTTAGAGATCAGTACGAGTTCAAAAAGGTATAACTTTCCAAAATCGGAACATTTTTATCCGAATTATCGGAAAAAAAAAACGAAAATAACTGCATTTTTTCGCGTTTTTTAAATAGCTGTATCTCGGCCAAATAAGCCCCGATCTTGGAAAGATTGGTCTCGTTCGACTCGTGGTCACAGCCATTTTCAGCCAACATCGTAATTGTTACAAAAAACATAGTTTTTCTCAAACTGGGCCATTTCTTAGAATCAGATTTTTTGGTGTCAATCGATAGTCGGGATCCGTACGAGAAGAAAGAGGTATATCATTTCGAAATGGGACATATGGTACCCGAGATAATTTTAATTTTAATTTTAAAAAATTCAAATAATTTCATTGAAAAACGCGTTTCATACTTTGGGGCTGCAGCGGAAAATGATTCGCTTGGCCGCACAGTGTGTACACACTCGTATTTATTTCATTGCCACTCGTTTTGCGCATGCGCGAAATGTGTATCAAAACAAAACCGGCGACAGCACGAAACCAGTATTTTTACCTCTGTGGCCGTATCACGCACGCCGTTGGCGAGCCAAGAACGGCGGCAGCGGTAGCAGCAGCAGCAACAGGTAAAACGGCCAAAAGACAGAAGGTGAGCGAGCGTCGCGCCGTTAAGACGTTGCTGCGGTTGAATTCGTCGTGACAGTGGTCAAAAATCGCACAAAATAAAAGTAATTCAACAAAAAGAAGCAAATTCGGAACGAGAATCAAGTTTCGTACCTGGCGTCATACTTTGGCGTTTGGGTTTTTTGCGCGTGTGTTAAAAAGTGAAATAATCATTTGATAAGTGTAATAACTGTGCATCTAATCAAGCGGGGTTGGGAGATCTATGTGAGTGTGGCCAGAGCCAGTGGGCATTTGAAGTGTTTTGTGGTTTATGTGCTGCTTCCTGGCCGCCTTTTTTTTTACTTTTGCCTAAACAACAGCCGTGCTGACCATCAGCCTATATATGTATCTTGCAGATACTTATGTATCTGCGGGCAATGGCTGCGGCAGCGCCTTGCACGCTACGCCAGCGCAGAGAGCAACCAGTTCTGTTTTATGCGCTTATTTATTTTAGCTGCCTTTTTGCACACATTTTGGTCTTAAGTGTCTGAGTGTATGTGTGTGTGTGCTGGCTTTCTTTGACTTCCCCATGCCTTATGCTTCTTTCCTCATTCTCCAGCTGTTTCAAGTCCATGTGTGCGTGCGTGTGTGTGCGAGAAAGCCAACATTTGCCAATCGCTTGGCGCGAGCAGCGCCACAGCCAAATGATTGGAACTCTTTGGCAGCAGCAGCCGCCTCATCATCATGTGCCACTTTTCACATGCTCATAAAGTGAAACTGCCAGCTAAGGCGAATTTCTTTTCAAGAATTGATCAAATGTTTGGCTTTTAAGTGCGGTCCAAGTTCAACAGCAGGTGGCTCCCAAGGCTCTAGTTGTAATGGCACAACATAAATTTGTTTTTTTCTTTTTGGTATTACAGCTTGCCACACTCACTTTTCCGCTGACTGAGCGCAAATGCTGCAAATGCTGCAATTGCTGCCACTGCAACTGCAACTGCATTGCCATTAACCACAGCCAAGGTCGATTGGGCGGTGGGGTCTAACATTGAAAGAGGTTTTTTCATTGTTTTTTTTTTTTGTGGTTAGCAGCGTTTAACGAAAATCTCTTGTTTTGCATAAACGAAAACAGTTAAAAGGTTGAGAAAGAATTTGTGCTACATGTGCCAAATAATTGTGTAAATAAAACACCGAATTCTTGCCAGCTAACGGATACAGATACAGATACATTACGGCAACTGAAATTAGCAACGGCAACATGTTGCTGCCGTCGCTGATGTTGTTGCTGCTCGGTTCGACAGGGGCACAGCTGCTGAATCATGCGCCGCATTTTGTGCCCGGCTCCGGCGACATGTCCCGCTTTAGCCTGTCGGAGCATACGCCAGTTGGCAGTCCAGTCTATCAGCTCAAAGGTAAGTCGTGGCTAATTCCCAAACTAAGGTCAGCAAATGACCAAACCCACGTTTCATAATCAAGCAAAAATGCTTCAGTAGCAGGTGAACGACTAGAAGATATCCTGTACTCAGTATCGATAAACCATAACATAAATTCGAACTTTGTCCATTCCTACGAAATTCCAAATTTAATAATGTATTTAGCTCTTCTATGAGAAAGACATGAACATAACTCGACTCGCATGTTGATGTTGATCAAGAATATATATATATATATGTGTATGTATATATACATCTTATGAGGTCACAGATGTATTTTCCTAGAAAACTATAATGCCCTCTTTAACCCATTTACAATGGGCACAGTCTCTTAAAAACAGCAACAATAGCCCCAATTCTCACATTATTTACGGCAAAGCCTTTCACAAACAGCAAAATTACTTAGTCAATGTTTTTTGGCCCAAAAGCTTGTGAGTTCATGTCTCTTAGTAATTATATATAGCTTATATATATGTACATATAGATTGTTTTTGTCAAAATCGGTTTGCATTTGCGCTCTCTTTCGGCTTTATTTTGCTGGTCATTTGATAGTTTAATTATTTTGTAATTTGACTTTTGTGGACTCGAAATCTCAAATTGCCTTTGCTGACTTTCATTTCGCTGGATTGCTGTGGGTTTTTTTAAGGGGGGGCTTGAGAGGGTTATGTCTATATGGCCATAATTGAAATATTAAACGCTTGGCCCGCCACAACGCCACCTACTTTTTGAATAACCTTGTGCAGAGTATTGCATTTTGTATGTATTTTTTTTGCCCAGCACGTTTTTGGAGAACTCATGTCGCATAAGTGTGTCTCGACATGGGCATATTTATGTAGTGTATCTCTGGTGATTACTTGATTTATGTAGCAAAATATGTCGAGTGTTTAAAGCGATAAGCGCCAGGCAATCTTTGTTTATTTAGGGTTCCCATAATGATAATGTGTATGTCGCATGCTTGGGAATGCATTTAGGTAATCAAACAGCAGCTATAGGTGTACGTATGTGTGTGTGTGTGTGTGTGTGTGTGTGATTGTATCTGTCCGCTGCCCATGCGGAAATGCATTTGAACACGTTTGTGCGTAGCACTCGCGATACCAAAACAAACGCTCCGATAATGTTGGCTTGATAATGATAACAATTACCATGAGAATATGGCGTGTGGCCAGCTCTGCGCGGCATTAGATGCAATTGTCTCCTGGCTGCTGGCCAACTGCAATAGTTGCAGAAAAAAACGGCGATCTTTGGCAAGCAGAAGATTGAATACTCTTGCAGATATGTGGCTTAGAAATGCTTCTTGCTCACAAGCATTATTTTTGACTAATTATTATTCTATAGGCATTATGGTAGACGGATTTGATACGCTCTTTGAGATATGTTGGAAATAATTAAAAAATAAATAAAAATATAATATTTGACAGATCATTGCTATAACAACCGATTACGACATGAATTGCCTACCACAAAAAACAGACGTTGACAACAATTCTTAACGATAGGCTCAAGACAGAGCGTCGGAATAACAAACGGCTGGTCGCCAATTCAAATTCAGCAGCAACTTTCGATTTAATATCTGAATTTTATAGTTTTCGAATTAAATTAGTTAATAAATTGATGTACTCACCTTCTTATATTTAATTTCCAACTTCCAGCTTCTTATTGTCAAAAACTCAAAACATTTTAATCACAAAGCAGTAAGCACACTTAAACATATTTATGGCTCACAGAAAAAAAAATTTTGAAAAAAAAATTAATTTATGAATTTAAACACTTTTTCCTTCATAATTTTTCTTTCCAAAAGAGGCAACACAATTAACACACAAAAAAAATCACAGAAAAAAAATTGAAAAAAAAATTAATTATTAATTTTTTACAGCTTCCTTAAAATAAAATCAAATTCACTTTTTGCCCCAAAAAAAAGTAAACACAGTTAAACACAGAAAAAAATTAGAAAAAAATATAAAAGCACACCTTGATACACTTCCTTTTTGCATTAACTGAAAAACAGATAAAAAAAATTATTAAAATGAATTCAAGAGAATATTAATATCTAAAATCATATAAATAATATAATATAATAATATAATATAATAATACAATTAAAATAACATAATATAATAAAAATATAAAAAAAATATAATATACGAGCGGGTATACCTCAGCCTTGCCCGTGGAAAGTC